TAGAAACAACCATATTGACAACCAATCTTCTTGTCGCTGTGGAGCCAACAATAAAAACGGTGGTGAAGAAGTCAAAAGTTGCACTGACACCATAGGTAAGAGATGAACAAAATGCAACTGTTAAATAGAAAGCGGCCATGTGCCAATAAGTGCCATTGTTATGGGTGCAGCAATGAGTATGGAAGAAGATAAGCCAGCAATGTTTCCTCAACGCAAAAAAGAAACATTACATGCACCCTAAGCCCATCAAGTTTACAAAGGAAGAGAAGTGACAAATTTCTTACAGAGAACGACTTCGAAATTAAGCAAGGGTCTTGGACAACGGAGGAGACATATTTAATAGAAGCAGTAATGTCATTTTTAAGTTCAGCAAGTATTGTGCTGTCGGATGAAAATGTAACAAATATGTACAATTTTGTTTCCACTTCTGCCTTCGCACGTACAGCAGATTGTAAGTCAGAGGGGCAGATAAAAGCAAAGGTATCCTGTGTTAAAATAGGCAACATGCACCACAAAAATTTCTGTATGAGATTGCTGCGCTGGATTCCCAAACTTGACCCAGTGCCCAACTTGCATCCATAAATAGTGACAATTTTAATAAGATTTCCTTTGTACAACCCAAAATTTGTTGTCCGTTACTAAAAAGGAGGAGAAATGAGTGTCACATGACCTTTTATTGCAGTTTTCTTACACAAAAAAGGTAAAAAAGGGCGGCCGAGGTGACAAATGTAATAAGTATTTGTAACGCTCCGCTACAAAGAACCTTTTATGAATGACTGACTGCGATAGAAGTGTAGTTTCTGAAATCAAGTTAGCTGATCTTTATATTCATTTTCATCTATCTTTTTTTCATAACCATACAACCTGTGCATGCAGGGTAAGAATTGGTCTCAGGAAGTTAAGTAGAACAGCACAGTTTTCACTATACGTTAGATTAGATCTGTTTTCATGGTGAAAGATTACGTATGCCAATCCCAGCTCGGTAACTAATCTATAACACAAATTTCTGCAGATAATGAAAGGTGTAGATGTCATTAGTAAGACCCAGTTTCTCAGGGCATTGGGGCTACCCGAACATTTTTTGCCAGATTCTTTAAAGCGAATTGCTCAAGGAATTTAAGCTTCAGACAAATGCGAAGGTCGATTGATAATAATCACGCAATTAAGTAAATTAAAGGCAGATTGAAAGTACAGAGATGACTAATCAGTCATTGAGTGAATATACATTACAGCACTTTAATTTACACAGCATTGTGCAGTCTTTATGCAGCACCTCTCCCCCTCCCCCAAACTCAACATAGTTCACTTGTGGAAATAATTTTGTTGGCAAATTCGAATTGGGTGTGGGAGAATGTTAGAAAATGTTAGGGTAGGCCAAAGTGTGGTGCAAAGAAGTTGAATATAGCAACATCAACTGAAGCACTTCCAGTACATGTGCGGGAAACACATTCATATATTACCATGAATGTGTTATGTGCTCGTATTTTGGCGTGATCAAAACAAAAAGACTGGGCGAGTGGACATGACTGGAAATCTGTCTCAATAAACTTGCCATGTACAGTGCATGGGATGTGTGTGACACCGGCAGTCAACAGGTCTGTATTAAGCAGTCGTGGTCACCTGTTAATATTGAGTCCCAAAGAGTGTTTTTTTCTTATTTGAAGTTGCATTGCACTGGTCACTTCATGAACTAGAAATGCTCATTTATTTTAACATAAAGTTAAATTCGCCACGTCATTAAGTAGTCATTTAGCCACTACCCAAGCATTAAATACAATTTTGACCGAGTCCCTCCTCTCTCAACTACAATCTTTTGTTTTCACTTGAAAGGGCACAACCATTGTTACTATCAGCCAGGAATCCTAAGGCAACCTTGAAACAGGTAGTTTCCTCGCATTCATGTCACCAAAGTTTACCAAAAGATTTTAAGTCTCAGCACGACTAGCGAAAGCCCAGATCCTTCCTCGGTCAAAGGGGCTGACTTCCGGTTTAAATGCAAAACTTTGCAACCTTCTGGAGCATTAACTCTTCTCTGTATTCAAAAAAAACCTTTTTTTTTGAATATTAGATGACATAAACTACAATTGGGCTTAAAATATATAAGATCTGAAAACATGAAAATTTGCCTGGGTGGGTACCTTAAATGCCAGGACGCAAAAACCATACTTTATTCCTTTGTCAATTTTTCTCAGCATTGGCTATTTTCCTTTGAAATCAAATCTGGTTATCATCATATTGACATTTTTCCCCCAGACCAAACGTTTTTAGGCTTTTCCGGGTCTAAGGATGGGGTTATTCGATTTTATAAATTTACTGTGCCTGCCACTTTTTGGTCGCCATGTTGCTTTTTCTGTTATTTCGGAGGAAGCCGCGTACTGCTGCGTGAGCTCAAATGTCTGGGATTTTAGGCCATGTAATCCAAAAGGTTCAGAAGATAGCAGAAAAGCTTACTTGTCTTTCCGGCTGGTTGTTCCGTTAACACTCAAATTTTCAAACAAACTGAACTTGAGAAGTAAATTCAAGTTGGCAGACAAAGAATTTGTACATAACATTTGGATTCTCCTAATCTAGAGAGAATATATTTCTACTTGTACTGAATGACAAGGGGGAAAAGAGTGGTTTACACTCAAAAAGTATAGTTTTTTCTTACATTTTAGTGATGACAGCAAACCACCCTGAATTTCATAGTCGACGAGGGATGGACAACATTTTGACGACCTTATGCATGGCCAGAAGGTTCGTGTGGGAAAATTTCGCTGCTGGTTGGCGTTATTGTCCCATTTCATCGTCGATGCTTAAGGTCCCTAATAGTTCATGTAGACATCCGCTGGAAGCCTTCACTGCATCAAGGAAGTAATGGCCTACATTGTCAGGGGAGTTGTTTGATCGAGAAACCACCAGTCATAAAAGTCGTATACTCCAGTCATCTATGCAACCATGAACAGGAAAACCATAGGGTTTCAGTTTGTCATACCCATCTGCATGCTGCAGCATTAGGTTTACGATTATATACTGATGTCTTTTCAGTCTGTCCATGTCACGTAGTGAAATCTCCACCAGTTGTCGTGGGACTCAATGCTCCTTTAATTGAAGACTATATCATACATGCCTGTAAATAATGCCCCGAAATACACTCTGGCCCATCTAGCATTTCCCGAATTTCTGAAGTTAGGGTATCAACATTGTAATCTGGATTCCTCCTCAATAAACCATATATCCTCAGTATGTGTATATTTCAATGTTGTGAAAAGTAGTTAGGAAATGCAATATATCCGCCTATTGAAACCCAGGATAAAAGTGGTATTCTATGAAAACCTCTTTCATATTATCTTCAAGCTCGACATTGTCATCGTTAGCAGTCACCATTTGATTTGGGCATAGACGATACACTTCTTACCTGTTCATTTCCAATTTCCTGCACAAACATACGTATGGAGGAGCATTCTGGACAAAAATGCAATTGGATCATGACCTGTGTTCCATTAGATTGTACCTTGATTCCATTGGATTGTACCTTCGTTTGGATCGTACTTTCATTCTATTGGATCATCCTCCAATTATTTTGTTGCAAGCTTTATTCCATAAGTTTATCCTCTGTAGCATTAGATCGTACATAAAGCCATTTTCTTATGCTACACATTAAACCGTACCTCCCAGGAGACTCCATTTCATTGGATCCCAACTATCTGTCTGTC